AGAATGCAGGATCCATGGCTGAGGTTTGCCTTCCCCTCCCGGCAGAGCTGCTGGAACTGCGGGCGCAAAGCGAGCGAGACGTGCAGCGGCTGCAACACCGCGCGCTACTGCGGCTCCTTCTGCCAGCACAAGGACTGGGAGAGGCACCACCGGATCTGTGGCCAAAGCCTGCATGGCCAGAGCAAGCCCCTGGCTCTGCCCACGGGCCGGGTGGCAGCAGCCACCAAGAGCCTCGATGGTGTCCCCAGCCCAGCCCTCGAGAAGACCTCGGCCACCACCTCCCGCTCCTCCACCCCTGCATCCGTGACAGCAATAGATACGAATGGACTCTAGAGGGGGAGTTTTGGTTCACTCCATTTGATTAGTTTCCTGGGTTTTTTAAGCTGAAAAAACAGCAACTGTTATCACTTGACACATTTGACCCATCGCACTGCCTCCTTGGAGCGCCGACACTTCGGCTTTGCCATCTCATCCTGCCTGTTCCTTTGTGGCTCATGAACTGGGGTGTGCCTTGCCCCCAGCAGCTCCCTGTACCTCTCTGGGGGTACCAGAGCATCGTCAGGACCTGGGGGACACTGGGCACCTGCTCAGGGGACCTGGACTGGGGAGAGAGAGCTGCCAGACGCTGAGCCTGCGGTGCCCAAGCAGGGAGCCCTGTCCTCGTGGCATGCTTAGGCTCACTTCCCAAGGTGTCTGAGCCACTGCCTCCTGCAGCCACCTTTCTTCCATTATATCCATCTGTTTTTTTCCTTACTCCCAGACAGTGGTGCCTCAGATGGCTGTGCTTGGCCAGTTGTTGCTGTGAGCAGACCAGAGCTGATTTCCCAGCAGGAGCATCTTGTCCTCTAGTGCAATGGCAAAAGCTGAGCCGACTTGTGCCTGTGGGTTGGCAGCTGATGGTTGCAGAGAGCGAGGAGAGGATTTGTCTGCTCTAAACCAAGTGTCAGTAGCAGGGAAGTACTAGATGGCCTGGATTTCATCCCATTATGTGGTGGGACAGACAGTTGCATGTTTCCTGCGTGGGGAACGGGCGCAGTGCAGATGTGGGTCGGGTGCAGGTGCCCTTTCCACCTGTGGACTGTTGTTTTGCTGTGCAGAAAGGGTTTGTTTTTTCACTGCCTGGAAGCTGTTGGCTTGCAAGTTCCTGCAGTTGTCTTTGAGCACAGTGATCCTCAGGTGGGTGCAATGGGCTTAGTCACAGCCTGTGCTCTCCACACACATAGGCCAAACTGGGAAAATAAAGGCAGGACTTGGTATCTTGCATCAGTTCTTCTCTCCCAGCCTGTGAGGCTCCTGTGGTGCTGCATCCAGAGATGCCATGGGATGTGCAGCCACCAACTGCCTCATTCAGCCTTTGGAGACCATCCCAAAAATGCATGCTCAGAGCAAGGTCCCATGTGGATGCCATAGGGAGATCCATCACTCAGTCCCTGCTGTGGTGTGGAAGGAGGAATTGGAAGGATTCAGGACAGTGAAGCTATGATTGATGCCAACCCACAGCAGGGCTGGTCTGGGATGTGTCACAGAGGTCAGCAGTGGCTGAGGGAGGGACAGGCATGTGCCCCCCAGGAGCTGCTCTGAGGGACAGGAGTGTGCCCTCTGGGAGCTGCTCTGAATTCCCACACAAACAGGCTCCAGAAATCCATCTATTCAGCAAAGCCATGTTTCTGTGACTCTGTGTGTGTGATTGCTGGGCTGGAGCCCAATGAGGCGAGTAATTCCCAAATTATTTTTGATCACTTTTTCAACTGGAGGTGAATAATGGAGCTGTAATGAATCACCACCGAGTTCACAGTGGCATAGCTGGCTGCGGGGGATGAGCAGGCAACTCCCTGCACCAGCTTTGGCCTCTTGGGAAAGCTCTGTGGGAAGCTGCTGTCATAGGCTAGAGCAGTCTGCAAGGTTTTATTATGCAAAAATGCCATGAGGTTGCCTGGTGTTGAAGCCAGTGAGGAGCATCTCCCGTGCCCCCAGGAGTTGGTGTTGGGAGAGCATGGGATTGAGTCAGCACCCACTGGAGGTGGCACTGGAGCCACCCTGACCTGCAGCAGCCTGGAGGTGGCCAGGGGAGCCCTAGTAGTGGCCATCACAAGGTTCAGGGGTGGCAGCTCTGTCTGTGCCACTGCACCAGAGCTCAAGATGATTTGCTGTGCCCAAATCTGTGGCACAGAGATGCCATGCTGAGCAGGGAGGGCTTGTGAGAGCACCAGGGCCAGGGGCTGCCCTTGCACCCCACTTCAGCAGGGGCTGAAGGGTTCTGCTGCCCCAAGGGGACAGGGACACTTTCAGAACAGCCTCAGGTAAATAACCTGTGGTTGCAATGTCCCATCCTCACCTGCAGCCCTGACCTAACACTGTGGGTCAGCAGTGGCCAAGTGTGCCAAGGTGGGATGGGAAGGAAGAGCAGGGCAGGGCTGAAGGGAATTGCTTGTAAATAGATTTGTCTTCCATAATTCTCATGCAATGTTGATGGCTGTGTATTAAAATTAACCCCAGTGTAAACGAATGAAATACTAACAATCATGATTAGAATGATTGCTTCTTTTTTTTTTTTTGTTATTTTTTAAACATGGAATGATAAATGTGAACTTGGGACATGGGAAGACATTGGGTTGAGGTTTCTCTTTTTTTTTGACATTTAATTCTGTAATAGAAATTTGTTACTTCATTCCTGTGCATAACTTATTTAATGTCCTGTATAAAGGAAACCCAAACTGTTACAGATGTATTTAGTTTGTTCTACTCCAAAGTAGTCAATAAAAAGACTATATTCATCCTCCAGCTCCTCCCCTTCTCTCTGGGAAGGAGCAGAGGTTTGCTGTGGTGTTCAGGCTGTTGTTGGGGCTTTTGGGAGACACTGCCATGCTGGAGCCTTGGCTGGGCACCCTCAGGGACAAGACTGTGGTGGTGATGCTGCTGCAGGTGCTGTGGGGAGCCCAAGCAGGCACAGGCAGAGCTGGAGTTCAGCCCCATACTCAGTGATGTTGGATTTCTCTGAGTTCATGGTTAAATAGGGTCCTTTCTAAGCTGTTTTTAAATTCTCCTTTTTATTAGAGCACAGACCAGGCTGCAGGCTGCTGTCCCAGCTGGCTGGCAGTGCCAGCCGTGTGCCCGCCAGCCACCTAAGGCTGCCCTGCACACACCTTGGCCTAATCTGAGGATTCCAGTCTCCAGACCACTGCAAACACTAAACCAGTGGTGAAGAAGCCCAAAAGAGGGAGCCAAACCCTGCACAGGACTGGGGAGGCAGCTCAGGAATCCCACATCAGTGTCTGCTGCAGCTCTACCCTTGGTGGCTGCCCTGGATGCCTCTCTAACCCCTCCTGGCTGTATCCTCACAAAGCTTGTCCCTTACTGCTGGCCCATGGCCCCAGTCCCCTTGGCTGCAGCTCCCATGAGGGAATGTGGCCCAGCAGCTGTCCCTTCAGTGGGCTGGAGCCATCGCCCATGATCCCAACACGCCATGGCTTTGGCCAGGGACATCAGCAGTTATCAGTAACCAGGTAAATAATTGGGTGCTGGGAGGATGGAGCCCCTGGGCCTATTGCTCCCCCCATCCCCAGGAGGGGCATTTGTGGTTTGGTTCCTAAGCCTGCTGGGGGCCAGGGGCTGACAGTGCCCAGCTGAGCAGGCAGCAGTGGCTGTTCCCTTCCTCCTCTAATGGGGACTTCCCTGATCCCATCTCCAGCCAGGTCACATCCTCTTTGCATCCTAAACCCAAGGAGCCCCTGGGGAAAACCAAGCACCCCAACCCATCATGACTTCTTTTCACCCCACTGTGCAAGGGTGACACTGTGTCAGGCCTGCCCAGCACAGAGTGTATGAGGTGGCCCCAGCATGGAGCTGTACCCACTGCCTCTTCAACCACAGATTTTACTTACTGCATCCAGGCATTGAGGAAGAAACAGATTAATGTTTCTGGAGGAGCAGCACCCATGGGGAGTGGGAAAAAAGGTTGGGGGGTGGGAGCAGATATTCAGGTGAGGGTTGGGGGCACAGGCACCTCTGGTAACCAACACCCGGTGTCAAGAATGGGCAGAGGCACAAGGATGGTGATGTTTTCCATGCCAGGAGGGCATGTCCCATGTGCCCTTCTCCACTCACTCCATGGTGGTTATGATGATGCATTTTTACCCTGGATCAGCAGAGGATCTGCTGCTGCAGCAGCAACAAAACCCCAAGTGTAACCATGGACCAGGTGAGCTTCACTCCAGCCATAGGTCTTCTCTGCTCATCTCATGCCCCCCCACCACAGAACCCATCACCATGAACTTGGCTATAGCCTCTCTGGCAGCACTGCCTGCTGCTAATGCTGGTTTATGTGCGCTGAGCTGCAGGATGAAGCAAGACCCTGGAGCCATGCTGACCTCCCCAGGGAGGAGCGTGGTGTGCTGGGGCCATGCACAGCCATGGGCACAGCTGTGGGGGCACGAGGCTGGTCATGAAGCCAGTACAGCAGCTGCAGGTGTGGCAGGGCCATCAGGCACACCCTGCCAGAAATACTGAAGTTTGGGGTTTTTCCTATAAAACACTATTCAAAATCCATACGAGACCACTTGGCTCCCTGGGCAGAGCCACTGCTGGCCCAGGGTGGCTCTGGTGAGCTGGGCACAGGGATGCCACAGCTGGCCAGAGCCATGTCCCACATCCTGATGAGTCTTGGGCTGTCCTCAGAGCCAGGAGGAAGAGCTGGAGTGCAAGAGAAGCTGAGGGCAGTCAGGACACAGCAACCACCCCAGTGCTCCCCCAAGGGCCACCCCCAAACACAGCCCCCCAGGCACTCTGGGAGTGCCCCACTCCCCCAGACAGCACAAAGACTGTCTTGGAGGGGAATAAATAAATAAATTAACATGAAAAGAGCAAAGAGTAAAACACTGGCAGGGGTGATGGCAGGCAGTCTCCACCGGGCTGCAGGAGGGGACGAGGACAGGGAGGTGACAAAGGCAAGGGCTCCGTGTCCTCCCGCATGCTGACGGTGTCCTGGGGGCAACTGCCCCGGGTCAGTTGTTGTTCATGATCCACCAGGAAGCTGGGGAGAGAGGGAGAGTGGTCAAGAATGTGCAGGGAGAGTGGGGATCCACCTCAGGGGAAGGGATTCGGGATGGCAGGGATGGGGGACCCAGCCCTGCAGGTCCCTGACACCTGGGTCTACAGCACCCACCCCCCAGGGCAGGGACCGTGGCCATGGCATGGCCTGGAGATGGGTGATTCCCTCCTGGGGCTGTGGCAGCTTCTGCAGGGAGTGCTGGGAATGTGATCAGTGGGACCAGCAGGTCGGGAGCAGTACCAGCAGCACAGGGTTCAGTCCAAATTAATCAATGTTTTATGTTATATTTTACATAAGACATGGAACTGATCCCTGAAAGCAAACTGGGGCTTAACTTGGTCTGGTCTGTCACCAAACATTCTCAGTTCTCCACAACTGGTCACATTTCTGTTGGTACCCTGGTGCACATTTCCTGCACTGGTCTCTCTCCTGCATCAGCACCAAACTGGAACTCTGGATGCAGCCACTGGGTCTGAGCCAGTGCTTTGCAGAGCAGGTTCTGGGCTCAGGTAAAACAGGGCACCAGGTGTATCTGAGACAGGACTCAGCTTATATGCTACCTGGGAAGTGCCTCTGCTGCCTGGCTGGACAGCATCTCCAGGCAGGGGACAGACCCTGCAGTCCTGCCAGCTCACACAGCCAAATCTGCCAGGGGCAACAGGTCTCACTCTGGCTTGAAAAACCCAATTTATGTCACCCCCAAACTAATCTTCTCCTCTGGAGGGAGTCCCAGTGCCTGTTCCTGCACTGCCCCTGCCTCTACAGCACACCAGGGGCAGGACTATAGGACTCCTCACCTGGGAAGAGCATGGTGGTCAGCAGCTCCGGGGACTCCAGCAAGCTGATGATGGACTGCTGGAAAGTCTTGCTGCAGCTGGACTGCAAGTGGCTGTAAAACAGGGTACAGGGTCAGGAGGGTGCAGGGTGTGCAGCCTCAGGGTGTAGGAGAGTGGCTGTGTGCCAGGACCCCATCCCACACCCAGAGACAGGGCTGCTTCTGCACCACCCTATGCTGGACACCTGTCCTGCCCTGCTCCCCAAATCCTTTATCAGGGTGTTTATAGTATCATAGTATGTTAAGGGATTGGTATAGAGATTAGTGAATATGCAGTCCCAGCCCCCTGCCCTGGGCAAGGATACCTCCCACCAGAACAGGTTGCTCAAGGCTTGAGCCAACCCGGCTTT